TTGTCAGTACGTTGCATTTTGGTGTTTGTTCCTGATCAACCTGCTCTTGTGTATTTTTAAAAAAATTATTGTTCTTTATTGATATTAGAGAGAGGAAGGGAGAGGGAGAGAGAGAGAGATAGAAACATTGATGAGAGAGAACGACTGGCCGCCTCCTGCAGGCCCCCCACTGGGGATCGGGCCCACAACCTGGGCATGTGCCCTGACCAGGAATCGTACCGGCGACCTCCTGGTGCAGGGTCGATGCTCAACCACTGAGCCACACCGGCTGGGCTGCTGTTATGTCTTTTTAAGGAAACTCAAATAGTTGTTCCGTAGGTTATTTTCATGTTTTATACTTGTGTTCCGTGGGAAAAAAAGTCAGCATATTTATTTCTACATTATATCTAGAGCTGGATCCCGTGCTTGAGTTTCGTGTGTGTATTTTCTCCTTTATTTTTTAAAAAGATTATTTCAGCCCTGGCCGGTTTGGCTCAGCGGTTAGAGCGTCGGCCTGCGGTCCGGAGAGGCCCGGGTTCGGTTCCCGCTAAGGGCATGTACCTCGGTTGCAATTTGTCCCCGGCCCTGGTTGGTCGTGCGGGTGGCAGCCACTCGATGTGTCCCTTCACGTCGATGTTTCCCTCTCTCTCTCTTCCTCTCTCTCCCTCCCACTCTGTCTGTACAAAAAATGGAAAAATGTCCTCGGATGAGGATTAAAAAAAATAAATAAATAAATAAATAAATAAATAAAAAGATTATTTCATTGATTTTTAGAGAGAGAGGGAGAAAGAGAGAGTGCGAAACATTGACCAGCTTCCCCCCGCCTGCCTCCTACCCCGGATGGAGCCCACAGCCTTTTGGTGTACGGGCAACGCACAACCATCTGAGCCACACAGGCGAGGGCTTGCTTATGTGTGTTTTAAAATGAAAAACAGGCTGTGATTTTTTTCTATTGTTGTAATTTGGTATGACAGTTACAATATCTAGGGAAATCGGGTGGCAGAGGGATCCCTTTCTTAGTTCTGTGGAACAGGTTGTTTGTTTATGATGGGTGTTGGTTATGCCTTCGCTTTGCCGTGAGCGTGATGCCAGCCTCCTAGGGTGAGTTGGGCGAAGCGTCCCTTCCTCCAGTGCATCCTGCAGACAGCGCAGGGTCCGTGTGCTTCCGCGAGGAAAGCCACCTCACAGCTGCGTCCCTTTTCACCCCGCCCTTTAATTTCGGATAGATGTTTTTTGCTATGTCTGTAAGATCAGTTATGTTTTCTTTTGTTATTTCTAATCAGAGGCTAATCTTCCATTTAAAAATTTTTTTTAATTCTCACCTGAGGATATTTTTCTATTTATCTTCAGGTAGAGTGGGGGGGAGGGAGTCATACACACACACACACATATCAATGCGAGGGAGACGCATAGATTGGTTGCCTCCCGCACGACCCTGACCAGGGCCAAGGATCGAACCTGCAACCGAGGCACGTGCCCTTGACCGGGAGACAAACCCTGACCCTTCGGCGCGTGGGAGGACGCTCTGCTGCTGAGCCAAACCAGCCAGGGCTGGTGTTATCTTTTGATGTTACTTGTCTGAGTTCCATTTGTTTATATTTAGCATCTCCCATTTGCTCATATTTATTTTCCGTGACCTTCGTGAGCACGTGAGACATATTGATCGTAACTGGTTTAATGTCCTGCCTTGTCCATTCTTTCATCTTCGTTGTTCTCTGTTTCCTTTCCTTGATTTTTCTTACTATTGTGACTCACATTTTCCTGCGTCTCATACCTTGTGCATTTCTGTTGGATGCCACCTACTGTGACTTCCTTGCTGCCGAGGGAGTTTTTGTTGTGATGCTTTTATTGGTGTTGAGCTGCTCTGCTTGCCTGGCAGCGGAGTTGGTTGTGGGTCATTGTGATTTTACACTGGTCAGCTCTTCCAGGCCTAGAATAGCGTGTGTGAGCCCTGCTCCCCAAGGCCGGTTCATTCCTCTGGTCTCTGCGTTGAGGTCTGAGCACCCTGGTGTGAGCCCTGCTCCCCAAGGCCGGTTCGTTCCTCTGGTCTCTGCGTTGAGGTCTGAGCACCCTGGTGTGAGCCCTGCTCCCCAAGGCCGGTCCGTTCCTCTGTGGTCTCTGCGTTGAGGTCTGAGCACCCTGGTGTGAGCCCTGCTCCCCAAGGCCGGTGCGTTCCTCTGTGGTCTCTGCGTTGAGGTCTGAGCACCCTGGTGTGAGCCCTGCTCCCCAAGGCCGGTCCGTTCCTCTGTGGTCTCTGCGTTGAGGTCTGAGCACCTTGGTGTGAGCCCTGCTCCCCAAGGCCGGTCCGTTCCTCTGGTCTCTGCGTTGAGGTCTGAGCACCCTGGTGTGAGCCCTGCTCCCCAAGGCCGGTGCGTTCCTCTGTGGTCTCTGCGTTGAGGTCTGAGCACCCTGGTGTGAGCCCTGCTCCCCAAGGCCGGTCCGTTCCTCTGGTCTCTGCGTTGAGGTCTGAGCACCCTGGTGTGAGCCCTGCTCCCCAAGGCCGGTTCGTTCCTCTGTGGTCTCTGCGTTGAGGTCTGAGCACCCTGGCTCTCTGAGCTCGGGGACTTGTTTGCATCACAGCTGTCCTGTAACTTCTTCCCTGAAGTCATACGTGTTCGCCCCTACGGGGCTTTACACCACAGTTGTGCAGCCTGGCATCCAGGTCAAAGCTCACGGGTGCCCGTAGGCAGGTTTCTGGAGCTCCTACCTGCCCAGCACGGAGAGTCCATCCTGTCATTGTAGCCTCCTTCGGCCTCCTGGACTGATGGTTTCTGTCTGTGCAGCTCACGAAGCCCAGGCGGATGGCCTTCGAGATGGCAGCGCTCACCTCACCCCGTTTGCTTCCCTTTGTTCAGGGATCACGGTCCTGTCCCCCCCGCCTGCTGTCCAGTTCTGATCATGGCTGCGCCTCCTATTCTGTCTGGTTTTCTAGTGGTTAATGGCTGATGGTGACGTCGAATCTTCTTACTACTGCCGTGCGGCTTTGAGTAGACGTCTCCTATGTTGTGTTAGGAACTTAAGTTGGTTCTAATTGATCAACATTAATACGCAACATGAAGTCTTTGTAGTCTCTAGTTTAGTTCTGCTTGGCTCCCGCCCCCTCTTGAAATTTGAAACAATGCTGTTTTGGCTCTTTGGTGTGTTATTTTGATAAATTTCTATATATTGAATCATGTTTGTATTCATTACATTTACTTGTATATTATTTAGATTTTTTTCCCCCAATTTTTAAAAATTGATTTACAGAGAGAGGAAGAGAGAGGGAGAGAAACATTGATGTGAGAAACATCAACCGGCTGCCTCCTGCATGCCCCCCGCTGGGGATGGAGCCCACAACCTGGGCATGTGCCCTGACTGGGAATCGAACCGGGAACTCTCAGTCCGTGGGACATCACTCAATCCACTGAGCCACACTGGCCGGGCTGTTTATATTTTTTTAATTCATATTTTTTTCTGGCTATGTTTTTTAGAGTTTTGGTTTAGGTGTTTCTTTTTAATTGTTTTGGGGGGGTGTAGAGATGACTTTTTGACAATTTGTAATAATTCACTTATAAAACCATTTGGACTTTGATCATTTAAAAAAATTCTTATTTGCCTGGCCGGTGTGGTTCAGTAGATTGCGCGTTGTCCCGTGCACCGAGAGGTGGCTGGTTCGATTCCCAGTCAGGGCACATGCCCGGGGTTGCGGGTTCGATCCCCAGTAGGGGGCGTGCAGGAGGCAGCCTGTCAGTGTTTCTCACATAGATGTTTCCATCTCTCTCTCCCTCTCACTTCCTCTCTATCTTAAAATTCTTATTTAAAAAAATTTATAACTCCTTTTTGGTTTTAATCATTGAGTGTGCTTTTAAAAGTAGGTTTAAATGGATTTCCTATTTAAAACATCCTTTTGCTTTATTTTTTTATATTTTTTATTCTTTCAGTGACTTTTTTAAACTAAATACTGAGTTCACTTGTATCTTTTCTTTTTAAGTAATAAATACTGTGCTGAAAATCTGAATACGGCTTTGTCAGTTTCTAAGGTTTTTTGAAAAATGTCATGTTTTTTCTTACTATATGTGCTAACACAGTTTTGACCGCTCACGAGTTAATTCGTGTTTTCCTGCCCAAACGGACCACACACGAGTTAACTTGGGTTTGCACTTGCCTTAGCTGTTTCAGGTTTTGAAACTCAGGGTAATATAGGATTATTGTATTTGTGACTCTTCGCCCTGAGGGTCAAAGTTCGAAAAACAGCACATCATTCTGTGTTCTTGAAGTAGCTGGGGAAGGGATATCTGCTGGTTCAAGTGAGTGCAGCCCAGACTCTAACGTGCAGTTTGCCCGAAAACGTGCCGTCCCTGGCGTGTGACGTAGAGGTTTCTGTGCGGTACGCAGTGTGTTAATTTCTTGATTCATTACTCTCCCTTATTTACGGAGACGTGACAAAATTTAAAGGCATTTGTTTTTTTTTGTCTTGTTTTTGAATTGCATCGGGTCAAAGAAGCACCCCGACTCTTATGTTTACTTCCCTGAAGTGTTTATAAATTAAATTTTATCACACTTGCAAGGTGGATGTGACTAGATCATGTGTAATACTTAGAATTTTTCCTCTCTGAGTGGTTGACGGGTACGCATCACGCTCTTAAAAACACCCCTGCCGGGGCAGCACTCCTTACGTCATCACAAGTAGCCGCATCACCCTCCACGAGCTTTGCATGGAGCCTGTTAGGTGATCAGAAGCTGCGCCTGCAGACAGAGGCATCGTCTGAAGGTTAGCTGACAGGGCCAGAGCTGAAAGAGCAGAGTAAGCGAGGACGCGCGTGAAGTCACGACGGCGCCGGGGCCTGTCCGCACACACGGTGTCCGCCCGTCGGGTGTGAGGGGACTGCGGGAGGGGTTGGATTGCTATTTAATATGGTGACGTGTTAGGAAAGTTGTCTCTGTCGTTTTGGTCTGCGCACCCTTCAACTGGTGCTTTACATTGAGTGTCATACTGAGCCTTACAGTTTAACGTTTAACGGTGCACGTTTGTTTCTTTGTAGGCCTCGGAGTAGAGGAAAATCTACAGTGGAAGATGAGGACAGCTTGGATGGGCTGGAGACTGCAGAAACGGAGAATATCGTGGAAACAGGTATCAGAACTGAATAAAGATGATAGAAATGGACATCATGATTTGCACATCAGCATTTTGCTGTACACTGAGTTCTGAAATTTCCTGTGCCGAAATAGTTTGATAAGTCCTAACAAAGTGAAAAGACAGAGAACCCTCCCCAGCCCTGACTTAGTAGAAGTTGTGTAACGTCTATGGAGGAATCTTTAATTAAAGGAGATTGAAACTGGAATAAATGGTAATTCCAGGCCACCCGTATAACCGCTCATAGTATATTGCTGGTCCGTGAGCCGTGTGATGTTTGCTGAAAGCTGATTTGTGTTGTGATGTGTGAGGGGGAAGGACACTGTGAACGGCTGGTTCAGCCGGACCTGCCACGTCCTGGTCTGCCGGACTGTTAGGTGACAGGTGCAGCCAGTGTGTGTTGTGTCTGAAGAGGTGGGGGGAATAGGTGGCCCAAAGGTTTCCAAAATGTACCCCAAGTTCGTGATTTGATGAGGTGTCGGGGACGCGGTTCCCTGCTGTCATCGGAGGATGCTGTGTGAGGTGGTCAGTCACTGGCCGCGCGTTTAGCAGCTGCTGAATGGAATCTGGATGCGGCGGTGGGCTGCGTCTCAGGCCGAATGTCATCGTGATGCCTAGAGAATGTCACGCAGTGTTTGGAGGAAAGGTAGAGAGGGCTTCATCTTTCTGTCTTCCCTACAATACTTCCGGTGTCAAATGTGTTGGTATCACATGGTTATAATTCTCGGGGGCTGTCAGAGTCTGTGACTTGCACCCTCTCCCCAGCAGGGGCCGGGCAGGCAGACGACAGGAGGGAAGCCTGGTGTTCAGAAATTCTGCATTTCACCTGTCATCGCCGTGTGACTTCCAACCCGCATTTACACAAGTTCTCCATTAGTTCTATACGTATGGCTCCCCCCTTTTATTTAATTATTTGTCTCTACTTTATACACTTACTTCTAGGGAAGGTCTTTGAAGTTTTAAGTGACATTTTGTCTCCATAATGGTGACAAGTTCTTTTTTTTAATTTATTTTTTATTTTTTATCCTCACCCGAGGACAGTCTTCGATATTTTGTTCAGATAGAGTGGGAGGGGGAGAGAGAGAGAGAGAGAGAGAAGCATCGACGTGAAAGGGACACATCGAGTGGCTGCCACCCGCACGACCCAACCAGGGCCGGGGGCAAACTGCAGCTGAGGTCCGTGCCCTTAGCGGGAACCGAACCCGGGTCTCTCTGGACCGCAGGCCGACGCTCTAAGCGCTGAGCCACACCTGCCGGGGCTGGGGTTCTTCACTGTCAGCCTGAAACCTCCTCCTCCGGTGTTTCCAGCTCGGCAGCGACACCCTGTCCTTCAGCCTCAACACACAGTCGTGGGCCAGCCACAGCGTGTCGGTCAGACCTGCATGTGGCACCGGCTCCCCTGAGCGGTCCCGCGATGTGGTGCTGGTGCGAGCACACACCGGCCGCGCTGCCGGGCGTATGGGTGCAGGCGGTGAGCCGCCGGCGTTGGCCGAGGACGTAGCTCGTGTGCCCCGTCAGGCAGCCTGTGACTGATGCATGCAGCCCGTCGGAAAGCCCTTGGGCTTGACCTTCACAGCCTGTCCCCACTGCCGCATTTCCCGTCCCGCACTGCTCACGGGACGGCTGCCAGAGCCTCCTGCCTGCTCTCTGCTGTCACCCCAGTCTCCTCTGTCCCCCAGGTGATGCCAGAGTGCTCTTCGCAGCTGAGGGAAGAGCCTCCTACTTCTCTGTCACCCCTCCTGAGCCTCCGCGATCCTCAAACCCAGGTCCACACCGCGGTCTTCAAGCTCCGCGGGCCTGACCCTGGCCGCCAGGCCAGCCTTGTCTTCTCCGCGCCCCCCGGCCCCCTGGGCTAACCGCCACGCTGGCCCCCGCGAGTACCGGGGCGCACCAGACACCGTCCTTCCTCTGGCGTTGGGCGCGTTTGGTCTTTGTTGCTTGGAACATCACCACAAAACTCGAATTCTGGAACTTGATTTTGTCTTACCTGAAAAGGAGTAAGCCCACAAGTAAACCGTCTTCTCGCATTACCTCCTGTGAAATGTCAAGGCAAATACAGCTTCGTGAGAGGTTTTCACAGGAGCAGGACGATACACGTTTCACCCTGGCCTGTCGTCCTCGCGTGAAATAAAGCCCAGTGTGATGGGCTGCGCTCTGTCTCTGTCCGGGAAGAGACCTTTTTCCAGCTCTCTCAGCGGACACGTAGGACAAGGAGGACAGTAAGGAAAAGGACAAAGGACAGTTGTTAGAACCACCCCCCTGCAGATAAACCCAGGCAGCGAGGAGAGCCGGACCTCTCGGGTCCGTCTGAAACCACACTCGCGTCGGTGCAAAGCTGTAGCTTCCTGTGCGTGTGTCAGGGCCCAAGGTTGGTTTTATTCCTGTAGAGTCCGTGTCCTGACCCACTGACTGTATGATTTGTTGTCCTAGAAGAGTATTTATTACGATGAGCACTCTTTAGGGGGTGTGCGGGGTGTAAATGGTGGGGATCTAACGGTTATGGGGAAAGTAGCAAGAACGCCAGCCCCGGGCTCCTGGGTTACTTCCGGCGGTAGGAGGGCCGGCCTGTGTTTGTGGTCGGCGGCCGCCGCCAGTCTGCGCGCCGTCCTCACGGATGGAACACGCCAGGTGCCCGGCACTGGAGAAGAGGAAGTCCACTTTTCTTTGAGATCCAGTCTATAATTAGAGCTTCGAAACTTGTTTTAGTTCATTATAATTGGTTAATTATGATTTAGCTAATTATAATGAAACATGTTCTTTTTACTGTTCAAGTTGTCATAGTGTGGCTAGTGGGGGGCCCTGTGCAGCTGGCTTCTCAGTCTTTTTAAAATAATCTCACAATGTGTCAACGCCCCTTGCTCCTTGGTGACAATGTTTTCAAGCCCATCTCTCTCTCTCTCTCTCTCTCTCTTTTTTTTTTTTCCTCACCCGAGGACATTTTTCCATTTTTTGTATAGATAGAGTGGGAGGGAGAGAGAGGAAGAGACACAGAGAGAGAAACATCGACGTGAAGGGACACATCGAGTGGCTGCCACCGCACAACCAACCAGGGCTGGGGACAAACTGCAACCGAAGTACGTGCCCTTTGCGGGAACCGAACCCGGGACTCTCCAGACCGCAGGCCGACGCTCTAACCGCTGAGCCAAACCGGCCAGGGCGCTCTCTCTCTCTTTTTTTTTTTTCCTTCTTTTTTTTGTTGATCCTCACCCAAGGATATTTTCCATTGATTTTTAGAGAGAGTGGAAGAGAGGGAGGGAGTCAGGGAGAGAAACATTGATGTGAGAAAGATACATAGATTGATTGGCTCCCGCACGACCCTGAGTGGGGCTGGGGATCACACCTGCAATCCAGGTACATGCCCTTGACCTGAAATTATTGAACCCATGACCCTTTCATTCATGGGCTGGTGCTCCAGACCGGCCAGGGCCAAGCCCATTTCTTAGTTCTTTCTACCCCAAGATGCAAAGTCAACTCTCTTGAGTCCTAGTTTTTTTTTTAATAGAGAGGATATGATTAGAGCTAAAAATCTAGGCTTTGGGGATGATTAGTTATATCATTCCATTGTAGTGATGCTGCTAGTAATTACATCAACGTGATATGAGAGTGAAGGCTTATCAACACCTGTTCACGTTGATACTTTGTTTACCTTTAGCTTAATTTTTAAAATGTTTTTATTTTTATTTTTAGAGAGGGAGGAAGGAAGAGAAAGACACATTGATGTGAGAGAGGAACATCTCTCGGCCGCCTCCTGCACGCCCCCCACTGGGGATCGGGCCCACAACCTGGGCATGTGTCTTGACTGGGAATCGAACCAGCGACCTCTTGGTGCAGAGTTGGTGCTCAGCCACTGAGCCACGCCGGCTGGGCTATCTTTCTGTTCTTGATGTCTACTTTAATTCCATTGAGCTCTGGAAGCCGGCCGTGTGTGATTTCTATTATTTTACATTTCATTTATGGCCCAGGGTGTGGGCTGTTGGTACTGCAGCCTATGATCTGGAGAGGACTGTGTGTTCTGCCGTTGGCTGGAGGAGTCTGTGGCTGTCCATTCTGCCCCCGTGATTGATGGTGGTGCTGAGCTCAGCGGTGCCCTGGCTGATGGGCTGCCCGCTGGACCTATCTCATTCTGACACCTGGGTGTTAACAGCCCCGAATTTGGTGCTGGATTTATCTGTCCGTCCTCGTCATTCTGTCGGTTTTCACCTCACATATTCTGACACTGTTGCACACGCGTTGAAGATTACTTTGTGTTTTAGGAGAACTGACCCCTCTGGTGATTCTTGATAACGTTGACTTGCCGTGTGTCTGAAATGAACATAGCTTCTGCTTTCTTTGGATCGGAAATCCACTCTCTTCAGCAAATTTCCAGTCTTCAGTACAGTCTTCGCTACAGGCCTCAGGCACCTTATACCTCCAGACTTACTCATCCCGTACAACTACAACCTCACCTCTGACCAACTTCCCCCCCTTCCCCGGGTCTCAGCCCCGGGCAACTGCTGTTCTGTTTTCTGCCCAACTTGACAGTTTTTAAAATGAGAACTTTGTCTTGGTTTGTGAGTTTTAATGTCCGACCTGGGGGGACTTGCCCCCTACCATCCCTGGTACATCATTTCTGTCTAAAGCAGCGGTTCTCAACCTGTGGTTCGCGGACGACCCTTTCGCGGGGGTCGCCTAAGACCTGACAGGGGCAAAGTTACAGTTATGAAGTAGCCATGAAAATAATTTTACGGTTGGGAGTCAGCACAACACGAGGAGCTGTGTGAAAGGGTCGCGGCATCAGGAAGGTTGGGAACCCCTGGGGAGACTTGGTGAGCATTGGCGTGAACCCTCCCTCCAGTGTTAGTGAACTCACAGTGAGGGACACATTCGCCCAGTGCTCTGACTCAGCTGGGCTTGGGGCAGGCCCCGTGCCCCTGAGGGGGACTCCCAGTGCAGGCTGGTCCTGGCTCTCACTGTGTGGGCCACTCTCCATGAATCACCCCAGTCCTTCTCGAAGAATC